CTCTCTTTTCTAAAAACTTTTTTTTTTCCTCTCCATCTCAAGTCAAACCTCCTCTGTTTCTAAAAACTCTTTACAACTCTGTCTAACTAATTTGTACAATATTTATTCTTTGTTTAATTTATCTAATATACACTATTATAATATTAAGAAATAATAGTAATTATATAAAATTCATATTATACCTTATAAAGTTACAACTGCCTTAGAATGAATTTATAACTTTTTGTTGCGATGTGATTAACATCAACGGTCTTGTTAAACCATTTTCTAAAACTATTTTCTTAAACCATTTTCTTTCAATCAACGGTCTTGTTCACAATCATTATTCTCTAGTTACGTTGTTATAGGAAAATTTTAACTGCTTGCACCACGGTTTTCTAAAACAATCGTGAACTGCTATTTCTCAACTCCCATGCAAACCACCAAAGCAAAAACATGCAATTACAATGATCTCATATCATTAAAAAGTAAAACCCAACTCCATTAGTTACAAATAAACCTGAAACACACCTACGAAGACGAAAGATTCTATCATTCGATCGAAAAATTTACAAACAGCTTCGCTTAATATTTCAGTTGGAGGAAATGAGGTCACCGTGTCTTGAAATGAGGAGCTGAAGCTCGTCGTGTAAGTTTAGGGCATCGAAAAGCATCACTTCATCATCGGACGTGCTTTCTATGATTCTCTGAACATTCGGCAGAGAATATTGCTTGCATTTCTCCAACATACTTTTGGTCAGCTCATCCTGCAAATTCCTCAACACAAGTTTATAGGTCCGACTGTAAATTTACCACACAGAGATAAAATGAAAAATAATAATCGAATCGTTTTAAACTAACATTGACAATTACAAAATACTCTCTTGCATGTTACGTTCGACCCACGTGCAAGACGAACGTTTATTTACAAAATACTTTTGTACTCTCATTTTTTACACAAACTTATGCCAAGTTTCTAGAGACGGTATATCGTCTCTAAAATCTGATGACTACCTAACCGAACCCCCACATGAATAGACGCTCAAAATGTTACATTTCAAAACCAATGGTTAATCAGCTAAGGTGAGTAACACATGTCAACAAAAGGGTTATTCATAATCTTGTCACAAAACCGAAATCAGGAAAGACTGAGATTGCAAAATTCGAAGAACAAAAGTAACCTCCACAGAATCAGAATTCAAGATGGTGGAGAGGATATCAAGGGTGTTCCGAGCCTCAGCAAGAAGCTCCATTTTCTCCTCAACAGACTCGAAATCGTAACCAAGTAGAGCGGCGTCTCCTCCGTCGTCTTCTACACGGGTGCTGGCAACGGGGCGTGTCCTGGGAGGTGACGGGTGGCGTTGGCCGAGATAAGACTCCAGGTTGTACAATGTGGGAGGAAACGAATCTTCTTTTTGTGCGGCTTGTTGAATTTCTCTCGACCTCAAATCCTGCATGAAGAAAAGAAAAAAAGAAAGACAAATTCTCTTCATTACATCACAAATTCAAGAAACAAATATCAAGAAATAACTGCTTATTTCGGAAAGCTTAAGCTTATTTTGGAAAACAAATGTACATAT